AAGTCTGGTCAACAGCTGTTTCGAACCCTTCACATAATCAGGTTAAAAGCTTCTCCGTGTTTATCGGCTTTAGCGTTACGTCAGCCACGATGTCATTCTCTGAAGATTTCATTCCAATAGACAGAATTTACACCGAAACTTCTCGCAAATTGAGGGCTATAAATAAAATTGGTTCGCGTTCGATGAAGGGCTTCATCAAATTGGCGTGGTATGAGCGTTACTTTCGTTCGTCTTACGCTCATCTATACAGCATAGTTGATGACAGGTAAATTCTGAATAACTTTTGCCAAACCCTCCAAATGTTCTTCTAATTTATTGTGTTTGAATCACCTTGGAACTATTATCTATTGGTGCACTTTTTAACTCCTTTCAAGAATTGTTCTGTCACACCAAGATTTGGCCTTGTGTTGTGCAGCCGTTATGTTCTCCTCTCCCTTCCTTTTTCCTAGCCTATACTCATGCTTCATATACAGCAGACCACCCTTTCAACAATTGAAAGTTTTTTTTTTTTCCGAGTTACGTTTTTCTCCGTCTCGGTAAGGCACTGAAATCTGAGACAAAGCTTCCGTTCAGACAGCAGTACTGTCTGCCTTAACTCTTAGTACGCTAAAATATTCTCCAATGACTGGTCGAACAATATGTCCATCAAGACTCTCTTTGACGAGTCATTGGGGTCACATCAATGTAAATGCGAATCGACATTCAGATGGCGTTCTCTTTTCTCGTCGAATTCAACCCCGTCCCCCTGACCGGAACAGCATCCCATATCCCAATCGTTACCAAATTAATGGTTGTTTCCACATTACCCTCCGATTCCTTTGAGCTGGTGGGCTCGTCTTTGTACGTAAGCTTGTTAGCAAGTTCAGCGCTATAGATTTTGTTAGTGCCCTTATTACACCGACAGCCAGACGCTTGCCCATGGCCTGACGTTTTTGCTGGGAATAATTAAAGAACAGGGCTCTGGTATTTCATACACTTCCCTGGCTACGGGAGGACGGGCGATCGGCTGTTCTATTACCTTAGGTATCCACGAAAAGTCAACCGTTTAGTTCTTCGGTTTTAGGATTGATGGATGCACGACGTCTAGGGTGGCGGCGCAGTCCCTGAGGGCATTGCTGGTCTTGCCGTTTATACGGAGTTTGCTCATATAACGTTCTAACAACTTCTTATTCGCATAAGAAAACAACTTCTTATTAGCAGAACATAAGAAAAACACACCGACGTTTTCAGCGTTCGGCAGAGGTACTGCCTGTTTTGTTGCAACAAAAACAACGGATCGTATCTCTTGATTAAAACCCCTTCTTAGCTGTATCGTCTGCGTTACTCTGCTTCCCCTAACAACGGTTTTCCCGTTTTGTTTCGTTCTCGTTGTAGCCAAGCTTAATTGTCGAGGGCTTTTTGAAAGATATTTTGTTTGTCTTTTGCTTCCTTTGATGTATTGTCTGGAAACTAAATCGCGATAGTCTCTGCGTCCTACGAAAGTACCCCTTTGTGTGTCATCTTTTGGGTTTTGGGCGGCGCCCCGCAACCTCCTCGCCCAACTCAGTAGCCCGCGTCGTGTCAGAATTTTTGTCCTGAACCCATCATCAAGTAGCATCCAACATGCTTATATAGAAGTGATCAAGACGGAAGAATTCAACAATGTTATTGTGGTCACGTCAGCAATATTTACCCCTGTACCAAGTTTCACCATTCCGTCAAACGTGATACACAAATCTTCTGTTTTTTTTTATTTAGCACCAAAAAAGTGCGGTTGAAAAGTCTCAGCTGGCAGCCGATACAATGTTTAAAGACCGATTCTACGTCCTCATAATCAGCTGCGTCCTTCGCGCTCAGTTTAAAGGCATCCAAGGCCGCCTCACTAGGTAGCAATGTGAGCAAGAGCTGAGGCGAAGTATTACGTGATCACTTCATTTTACGGCATGTCCTTTCAACGTTGACAAGGGAAATGCCGATGTCTCCTCTAAACTTGAAAGGTTGCATAAGGTCTGTATTTGAAATGCCTCCACTTCCCTGAGTTAAGTTTTTTTTGTTTTTCCGGCTACCCAAGTATTAAATACACAACAGTGTCGCGAAGGTGGTCGAGAAGGACGATAGCAGAGCGCCCTACTATAAGATGTGTACCACCTGCGTGGGAGGTGGTACCGAGCACCTTGTGCTACCAACAAGAAATGATTACGTCGCTCGAAACAGCCTTGTCTGACCATCGGCGTAAGTCACGCACAAAAAGAACAATAATTTGTAGAAGAATCTGAAGTTGGGCAAGTTGGTACATCTTAGATTCGAAAAGCGCCAGAAAACAAGGACAACAGAAGGAATAGACGTCTATTCCTTCTGTTATCCTTGTTTTCTGGTGCTTTTCGAATCTAAGAACAATAATGTTGGTTAATGAATATTGAAGTATAACAAAAAAAAAAAGAAAACACGCGAAAATAAAGCCTTTTGTATTTTATTTTTAACACTTGCCAAAATATCGAATTCAAGCCGAGCTTTTCTAGGGATTAGTCACAACATGAGTGGGCGCTTCTCCGGACCCTCCAAAACTTGAATGCGCTTTCCTTCTGCGAGCGAGACTCGGGTGAGCTTTTCTAAGGGATTTGATTAAGCTCGAAGGTGCATGGTCAACAAATATTTTTTTTTTGCCAAAATTGTTTTGGAGATTTTGATATAAACGTGAACGCAATGCAGAGGCTTGTACTGCGTAAACGTGTCTTATTGAACTGCTTTAGAACGGCAGTACAATTGGAGGATTATTTTTTTTCTATGTCCATGATGTGTGTTGTAGTTTTCTTTGTGTATATTTTATAGTTGCCTTTGTGGCGATTTTTATTACTCCTGTCGTGGCTGCTTATTCGATGGTTTCACACGCAGCAACCATCCCAAATAATTTGTTGAAAAAATTCTTCTCGGGCTCACTAGCACATACTCTCCGGGACGATATGAAATATACCTGCCGAGCGCGTGGCCTTCCGCACCTAACGCACTATCTATCAAAAAATAGATTAACAGTTATTAAGGCTTCAGCGGCTGTTCAGTTGCCTCTTATAGCCCCTTCCTTGAGAGGACTTCGCCTGCTTCGCGTCTCGATTGCGTTGCAGCCGAAGTTGTCGTACTTGGTCCGTTTCGCTGGCCTTTTGGCTTCTAGCCGCTCGAGCTTTACTCAAACAAATCCAACGATGTTAAACACTGTCGTCTGCATGTTTCTATCACATCGCCTAGGTATGCTTATGCAAATATTTGAGACGTTTCTCGCCCGAGAACTACTTGCGCCTCGGCGGCATGATTGCAGCATCTGCAGAGGCTCTCCTCCCTTGGAACGGAGGCTTTGCAAATCACGTGGATACTCCACAGTATAAATTGGCAACTTCTTTGCTCACAGACCAAAAGACGAATACAAAAGTGCGTAGCGACTGCCCAAAAATGATATCGCATTTAATGTGTGATTCTTGTGACTTGGCTATTATTCCGGTTGCCGACTAGTCGGACTGCATCTCGGTGGGGGGCAGGACCAGGGTAGGGGTCCAATCACGAAATAAGAGCTAGGTTTCTTAAGAAAAGCGTACTGCTTAATGCCTATTTACATCAGTACGAAGCACACGATGGTGCGCTACACTTCAATTTATAATGAATATCTTTTTCCTCCCCTAAAGAGGAAGAGACTTCTGACTAAAAGTTTGTGAGCTCATACCGCGGGACGAAGCGTCGAAGCAACTGTGCCCTGCCCTCAACGTTACGCTTCCCAAAAGGCTCACACTTTACACGAACGCACCCGTCAACCAGCGTTCATGCATTGTAGAATCACGAGCTGCTTCACAACGGGCCATAGCGTTGTCGATATCCGGCGGAAGGCATGATGAGAGCACACTCCTTCCGAGCAGATCGTGACGTAGCTGGTTGTTCTGTACTTTTGATGCTTGGTATTCGTTCTTCCCAAGCTTAATAAAATAGAGGGGTAATTGTTTCCTAGCCTGAAGACGGGCAGATTCCGCACAACTGAGAAAAAAGGGCGATTGGTCATCCCGCGATGCGAAGTTAGGTCGAGACGCATCCTGACCGGAAACGAGTACATCTTTTCGATGACGTTGTTGCATACAGAAACTGGGTTTAGGTTTCTAAGGTATGGCAGATGCGTAAATTAAAAAAAGGGCATGAAAAAACACACCACTCGATGCGCGAGATTTGGTTGCCTGCCCAAATGATACGCCTATTATAATATCCTGCAGATAGATTGCTCAGTCTTCTCTTCTGCTCTTTATTTTTGATCAAAATCAATAAGTAGTCCTGCTACAGCAGCAGGTTTCTTAGGAGGTGCTAAGACTATTATTGTTAAGTAGTTTAATACATACTAAATTTAAAAATGTTTTTGTGCTATGCACAGCGGTTAAGCTGTAACTTGTTGGCTTAAGCATGGAACCTTCAAAGGAATACTCTGGCAAATTTTTAAGCTACCCAATTTCACTGTATTTCTTTAAATTCCCGCTTTTATCCTTTCGAGTATAATATTTAGTATCGCGAAGCTTTTATTATAAAATCCGCAAACGAAAATTAGATCTGAATGAACATTCAAATACACCCTCCCCTTTCTCTGCCGCGATATCAATGGCAGGCGGGGACTCCGGTCGAGCAGGGAGTATAAAAAATTGACCATTGCGAGTATTTGTTCTTTTCTGCTGCGCAGGTGCTGAATATAGTTTTCAAGACATTCATTTCACTCCATGAAACTGCATGTAATCAGTTATAGCCAACCTTACAGTCTAAAGTGCGAACCCATGCCTGCCGCTGGTGTCACCTTTTCTTTGTTGCCAGTGTGGACTTTCTATCTTAAAAACACGATGAGTTCCAAAAGTGTATATTCGATAATTCCGCGAAAATTTTTTTTATTTTGAACTAAATTTGGAATACTATTTAGGGAATGTGTGCTGCTATGTTCAAAACATTTTAAACAAGTCGGGGACCATCAAGCAAACGCTTGAGTACCCCTTTAAATCTTAATTTATAATTTATAAATTTTGTGGTAAATCGCTCTTGCTTGTGAAGGTTTTCTTTCCTACAGATTTGGCATCTAAAATATTTCGCTGAAAGTAAAAATATAAAAATTTGTTTAGTAAGAACTAAAGGTAAAGAATGACTTACTGACAAAAACTTTGCAGAAAAAATCTATTCCCTATGTGAGTTTTAGAACATCATCGTATACGATACTATGTTAAACCTAAAAGCAGTCTCTTACCAGTAACAACATTTTGTTATCGTTTTACTTCGAAGATTGAGAAAATGTCTGATAGCCGACCCACTCCATATTCACGACTTTAAATCAATAGATGGCTTGATTGACATCGTCTTGAAGGGAGCGTCATGTTAATATAACATTGCTGGATTGTGCGAATGGAGCAGCCTGATATGAATAAAAGTAGTCTTAAACCAACCTGAAATCCGTATGGCGGTAGTTCACCGTACACCTTCTGGTATCCCGCCCAGGATTCCTATTTGAAAGAAAGAACTTCTGTAACTGTTTCTTAGTTAATCTATTTCAAGTAAATCATTGACAGGAACTACACACGGTCACGTGCTCACTTCAAATGCATATTATAACATTTGTGTAGACGCCGAATCAACTGTTGATTTTAATACCTTTATCCAAAATTCTTTACAGCATATTTACACAACGTGGGGTAAATCATCGAGAGTTCTTGTCAATATGTGCTACAGTCTGTAAGTGATAAGCGCGGTCAATGGAGAATGATAAAATAGCCTGGAGACTTTGACATAAAAAACACAAACAGATTAGGGAACTGGCGAAAGAAGAAATAATAGGGTGCTTTGTACAGCTTCGTTTCCATACCTTATTGTTTACCCAACACGAGGCCAGAAGACTCCACAATTTAAATAACCTCCGCAATGAGCACGGCGCACTATTTAGGAACGAGTCATGCGCCCGCGTTCGACTTATACTTGTGTTAAAAAAGTGCTTTTCTGATTGGACATGAGCCCTTCTTTAGCCAAAAAAAGCCTGCTTCTAACTTACTTCTGGCAAACTTAAAAAAAAAAAAAAAGTAATCAAATGGTTTTGTTTTGCAGTAGCCTGTTTTTGATGCCATATTGTTTGTTGGGCTTCATTCGATAAATCCCAACAGCCCAACACGGTGCAGTTGCTCCGTGTTGGGCTACAAGACGCACGAACAAGAATACGGTGCTTGTAACCACGTGGTACAGACAGACGATCGCGAGTTGTTTGCATGCATGCAATCGGGCGTCCACCGAATCAAACGTTTGGCAGGTAATCTTCACGTCACTTCGCTCCGGAAGTCTTCCAGACTTCCGCTAACGTACACGAACGTGCGCAAATGAGACGGGGGTTGCCTCTACGCTGCTAATATCTCAGCCAAAGAGAGTAGTGGCGCGAATAGTGGTAAGTGGAGCAAATTTAGACGTTCTGTCGTTACAATGTGGCTTACTGAAGATATTCTGCTCATGGCTGTAAAATGTCAAGTTAGGTTTGCTCAGTTAGCGTCACCCTTAACTATTAATTGCGCAACGAGCGCGTACGTAACGGTTGCAACAACAGAAAAAGTAAACACATAACGGACAAAAACACAGACTAGCACATTCCTCGTTTGTGTTTCTCGTCCGTACTGTGCCTATTTTTTATGTTGTTGATGCCCGAATTCTTGGATCACGTTTTTTTAGCCACTGGAGCGCTAACTTTCTTACAACCCGCAAAGCTGGCTGGTTATCTACTGTTGCCTATTAAAAAAATTGAGTAGATTTTACCTATACGACAGACTCGCTGACTAGGCTGCCGCACAGTTCGAGTGTTGTCTAGTATATAATAGTAAAGCTATATTTGTAGTGCACCACCAATGCACATTTCTTGGATGCAAGTCAACCAGCTGCCGACGGGATCGAGTTGCTTGAAGAGGCCAGCAGCTGCATCAAGAAATGATAACCCCTGTAGAATATTTATATGAACTTATATCGGTTTCATTCAAGACAAAGAAGAGGACAAATACTTGATCGCGAAAATTCAAACGAAATGACGAGGAGGAGGAAGACGTGATCGCAAAGAAACGCAACAGACCTCAACGGACCTCAACGCCTTCCAAATGTAAATATTGTATATAAATCCTTTTGATTACTCCTCCTGTACCGATATTTTACAAAATGCTTGGTGCCGAAGCCCGGGAATATAACGAAAAAAAAAATGGAACGGCTCAGGTGAAGACGAGGAGTGATACTGTCCACTGCTACCAAGCTTGTCTACGACATTTCCTCGGCATTAGAGCTGACTCCGCTACCAGAAGGTGACATAGAAAAGAAGCTCAACTTCATCACATTGAAAGAAACGTCGCTACACCAACTAGATGCGGAGATCGCAGACCTCATTGACCAGGACGAAATAGAAGAAGAAACACAAACTTGTACCACGTACGAAGAGACTATAAGCAACGTTAAAACAAGTACGGCCCGAGCGTTACGAAAACAGCACTGCAACGAAAGAGTTTTTTCTAACAACGACCCTTAAGGAAATGACCTTAGACAACGTCAAGCAAGTGGACCTAACGTCAAGCTTCCACGACTAGAACTTCCAAAATACAACGGAGATCTTGAAGACTGGCAAACGTTCTGGGGCCAGTTTCAGTCATCTATAGACCACAATCCAACACTGTATCCAGTCGACAAGTTCAAATATCTGAAGATCTACCTGGTCGGAAAAGCCGATGCTGCAGTTAAGGGGATTCCCGTGACCAGTGACAATTACAGCGTTGCGATTGAACTCTTAAAGAGAAGATTCGGTCAGCCCACTGTGATAGTTAATAACCATCTTTCTCATCTCATGAACACCAAACCAATAAGATCCTCAGACGACACAGAGGGACTCAGGTAACTCCACGATGATGTAGTGACAAGGATCAGGAGCCTACAAAGTCTAGGAGTGGATGTACAATCTTACAGTGTTCTTCTGCACACCGTGCTCCAAAGAGCTCTCCCTTCTGATCTTCTGCTGAGGTACAATCGGAAGCTGGATGCTAAAGGGCCTTCAGGGGACGGGGAAGACGATCTCACAGTACTTCTTGCATTCATTGATACAGAAGTTATAACAAGCGAGAAGTGCTTTCAACTCTCCACACACTCTCAAAAAAGAAAAGTTCCGTCCATCACAAGGGTCTATTGTTGACAAGATAAGTTCTGCATCGGCTCTCCCTACATTAGAAAAAGTGAACGTTCACTGCTGTGTTTTCTGTGGCTCTGATGACCACGCGCTGCAGGAATGCTCGACACACCTGACATTACAAGAGAAGAAAGAGAAACTTAAACATGACAACAGATGTTTTCGATGTGGAAAACAATTTCCCAGAGCAAGAGAGCGTCGAAGCGCACGAAAGCTTTCTTGCGCGAGTTGCGGCGGCAGACACCTGACAGTGTTGTGTGATCCAGAATGGGCTGCACTCCGACCATCGCCTAACGTTCCTGGAGGGCCTTTGCAGTTCATCGGGATATCTAGAGCAGGATCAAGTAGCCCCCAATAGGTGTTACTTCAGACTGCTAAAGTACTAGCTAAGAGTCAAATTGAGACAACACTTCGAGTCCTTATTGACGGGGGGAGCCAGCGTTCCTTTGTAAACCAGACTGCCTCAGAAAAGCTCCATTGCCGACCCGTTGGTTAAGAAGACCTCTCCATTTTCGCCTTCGGTGACTCTGCACAAGGAACGAAAAGAAGGTGTCGCCGCGTCGAGATTATTCTGAAAAGCCATCACAACAGAACACAGATTGTCACAGAGGCTTTGGAAGTCCCCGAGATTTGTGGAGAAATTCTCTGCGTAACAGACACCAGCCTCATACAAAATCTACAGTCGAAGGGTATGACTCTGGCGGACCTTCCCTTAAAGAACGAAATGCCAGAACCTGGAGTTAACATCCTCATCGGGTCTGATTAATATTGGAAAGTAACGACTGGGAGTGTCAAACGTATCTACTCGTGTCTGGCGGCTGTGGAGACCATATTTGGCTCGTCTTTGCAAGGTCCCGTAAAAGTGAGTAACGCCTCTAGTTTATGTACCGCCACTACTATGTTCACGATGAGCGTCGTCGAGGCATCTAACGACATCTGCTTAGAACTGCGCAAAATTTGGGAACTAGAAAGTCTGGGAATTAGGGGCTCACCATCGAACGACCAAGAGTGTGGCTCTTTTCTGTATTTACTAAAATCGTTCGACTCCTCCGTGAAGAAGATAGACGGCATATACGAAGCCCGGCTATTATGGAAGTCCCCTGAACCTTTGTTACAAGACAATAAGGATGTTGAGAAACTCGCTTAGCTGCGTTACTCAGAAAACTACGTAGAGATGACTGTCTGCTGATGCAGTATGACAAGGCTGTGAGGGAGTACCTTATTAAAGGGTTCGCCGAACGAGTCCAACGTGATGATGACGAGGGACACAGTGATAAAACGTATTACTTGCCCCAAAGAGCCGTGATAAAAAATTATCGACAGACAACCAAGGTCCGCATAGTTTTCGATGCATCGTCTCATGCCCCACGTTGTACTTTTCTAAATCAAAACCTCTATGCAGGACCAAACTTAAATCTTGACCTGATGCAAGTGCTGTTAAATTTTAGAAGGTACCCGATCGCCCTTTGCGCTGATATTGAGATGGCTTTTCTACAAGTTTTTCTTGTACCCAAAGATCGAAACGCTCTTCGTTTTTTCTGGTTTCGAGACATCCCAAGAACTGCTCAACCGCACTACCCTCCAGAAATCTGAAGAATGACAAGAATCCCGTTTGTAGCAACCTGCAGCCCGTTCCTCATTGCAGCCACTATACGATATCATTTGGAGAGTGTCCGAGGCCGGTTTCCAGAAACCACCATGAACTTATCTAGCGGTCTTTACGTTGACGATTCACTCACTGGATCGAAAACAGTCAAACAAGCTCAAGTGCTTCACGAAAGTCTAAGGTTATCATGGGTGAAGCCGGCATGAACCTGCCTAAGTGGTGCACAAATGACAAAGATTTACAATCAATCTTTTATAAGAGCAAATCGTTAGAGGAAACACAATTTTCACCAGACGACTCTACAAGGAAATTTACGAAAATACTAGGCCTTCTTTGGAACCAGGGCCAGCGATCAACTTACTATTAACGTTGACAACATTCTGGGTTTCGTAAACCTTGCGAAGCTAACCAAACGCAGCATTTTACTGACTTCAGCGAGAATATTTGACCCTCTTGGATGGATCGCGCCGGTGACCGTGAGGGTGAAGTTGCTGTTTCAACGACTCTGGGAACAGATAGTAGGATGGAACGACGATTTTCCAGGTCACATCACCAGAGAATGGGTAGATTGGTGCTCGCATTGGTCAACTATTCACGAATTAACGATACACCGGAGATACTCAAACCTAGACACCGAGAGCGATGGTACAGTCGTAGAACTTCATGTGTTTTGAGACGCAAGTCCAAGGGCATACGATACGGCAGCA